GCTAATCAGCTGACTGTGAGAAGATAAAAACTTTAACAAACTTAAGTTTAAATTTTATTAAATCTCTGGACAGAGGTTTTTGTTTCTTTGGTCTAATCATATTATTATTTTACAGGGAACCTGAAATATAAACCTAATTTTAAAAGCTGCGACTAAAAATGTTTTGTCCAAACACTCACCTGTGGTTTGATCAGAGGAGATGCAGGTTTGTTCTGTGTTGAAAAAGAAAGAGAAAAGTTTATGACAAGTTGACCTCTAAACTCCTCCATTCAGACTCGGAATCAGTGTTACCTGTTGGGTTTCAGAGGCTGCTGATGCTGCAGGTTTCTGTGGAGAACAGGAAGTGGTTATGGTGATTTAAAGAAAACCCCAACTAGTTGTAACATTAGACACTATTTGCTTCAACTATAAAATCGAGACTGTAAAAATAATGCAGATTGTTTAGTTTTATAAATATACAGTATATATTGTCACATACTGTTATTTACACCTCAAAATCATGCCAGGTAAATGATAGCACTTAGTGCTCCTCTGCGAGTCTGCGAGCTCTGTCTAGCTTTAAGGTTAACCTTGGACAGTGTCTGGCATTTTAAATAAAACCACATTGACAGAGAGGAAATGATGATAGAGGAAAACAGAGCTGCTTCATTGAAGTAGAACCTTAGCTTAGCCTGTTAGCTTTAGCATTATGCTTTATATAATTTATGGGATCAATAAAGTATCATTCATTCATTCATTAGCTCCCGAGCTACAACGTATGTGGCGATATAGCATTAGCTCCCAAGCTAATACATGTATATGTGGAAATGTATATAATGTTAGCTCCTGAGCTAATACATGTATATGTGGAAATGTATATAATGTTAGCTCCTGAGCTAATACATGTATATGTGGAAATATATATATGTTAGCTCCTGAGCTAATACATGTATATGTGGAAATATATATATAATGTTAGCTCCTGAGCTAATACATGTATAGGTGGAAATATCTACAACGTTAGCTCCTGAGCTAATATATGTATATTTGATGATATAGCGTAAGCTCCCAAGCTATTACATGTATATGTGGAAGTATAACGTTAGCTCTTGAGCTAATACATGTATATTTGATGATATAGCGTTAGCTCCCAAGCCAATACATGTATATGTGGAAGTATAATGTTAGCTCCTGAGCTAATGAATATTTGATGATATACCATTAGCTCCCAAATAAATACATGTTTATTTGGTGATTTAGCGTTAGCTCCTGAGCTAACGCTAATGCAATATATGTGGTGTTAGTTCCTAAGCTAATAGTAATAGTTGAGAGCTAACGTTATATCACCATAATAATGGAAATCTAAAATATTTTCAGTTGCAGGCYGAGTCATTTCTACGTCCTCTCTCTCAAGGTGCTCTGGCTTCTTTTAAAAGGGTTGATTGTCAGATATTGTCCAAAATTAATGTTCAAGCTGGATAGAACTGGCAGTGGAGCACCTAGTAAATGTCATCATTAACCCAGAATGCTTTGCGGCGTCAATAATATGGCGATGTCCGTGTAACAATAAACAGTATTTTTACAGCTAGTTTGACTTGAATCAGGCAGTTTTACCAGTAGAGCAGGTGTGCTGGGAGTCACAACAACAACCAGGGGACTGCAGGCCTGAGTGGACGTGGACTCCACCAGGGTCGGCTGACTGATCTCAGGTCTGTCTTTGAAGATCGGGTTCGGTTTCCCGGGAGCTGACTTCACCTTCCTGTCGACAGACTTTCAATCAGTCAAGGTGCGAAAGACGAAAACAAAAACATCCGAACAGAAGAACCCACCTTCTGTGGACCACGTGGTTCCTCCTCCTGCAGAACATCAGGCCTGCGATCAGCATGACGACCACCAGGAGACTGAAGGAAACTGCACACGCCACAGCCGTGGTCGTATTCTGACCTGCAGGGAAAAAATACACATCTGTGGTTTTAATCAAACTCTCCCCCTCAGCTGGATTACACATCATGTGAATCAGATTAGAAAAGACGAGCAGCTTAAATTCAATAAAATGTTGAGTTTTTTCCTTTCAGTGTTTGTAAAAACCAACACTATGTTTCAGTCTTGAACGCAGCTCGACATGAGATCTGACCATGAAGATAAGAAAAGGGAAAGTTTCATCACGATTAATTTAAAGTTATTTCTTAACTTTGTTTTGTAAGAAGAAAATGTTGCACTTCTTGCTTCCTCTTTTGAAGACAGTTTATCGAGGARYTGTGGCCTTTTTTTTTTTTAAATCAGCTGGTGGTTTTTACTAAGGGTGTATCAGAGGTGACAAGTAACTAAGTACACATACTTTGTTACTTTACTTAAGTAGAAATTTTGGGGTATTTATACTTTAGTGGAGTAATTATTTTTCAGCCTACTTTTTACTTCTACTCCTTACATTTTAATCAATTATCTGCACTTTCTACTCCTTACTTTTTAAAAATGCAAAAAGTATTTCATTTGTATGTAACTTTGACTTGTTTTTATTCCATCTTTTCATTGTTCAGYGGTGGTTCCCAATCTTTTCAGCTTTTGACCCACAAAACACCAGCAGCAGAGACCTGTGCCCCCAGCTGTTGTCGGTTGATAAACATTATTTTCACATCAAATAAACAAGAGCATAGTAACTTTATTTATTACACTATTTTTGTCCATTTTAAATATGCTAATCTTATTATTTTGTAAAAACAAAGGAAAAATGTTCTTAGTTGTCTTTTTTTTTGTGTAATTAATTAAAAATATATATTTTCAGGACCCCACCTTAATGTTTCACTGTGGGTCCCGACCACAACTTTGGGAACCACTGCGCTACAGAACCCTGTGGCACAGCCTAAGCTTT